GGGGAGACATGGTGGCGGTGGTGGGGGGGGTCATCCTCCTTTTGTTGTCTCTTCATGTTCTCCAAACTAAATTTTAGAATACAAGTGGAGGTGAAGTTGATTCGTGTTAGAAACAGAACAAGCCTCACCCTCCGATTAGGGCACAGAGGCATGAAAGGGTGTTCATGTAACAAGAGCAAGGTTGTTTCACTATGGGTCGTTATCACTCGAGCTAAATGGAAGCGAAAGTATCTGCGTTAAAACATCCCTCGCGTCACAAAACCACTTTTGACACAAAATGCCACTCCTGCCGTGACAAATGCAAAGCGTATCTTCGTGTGAATGTGTAACGCAGGTGCGTCACCAAGCAGGTGTGTGTTTTTATCGAGCTTGCTTGACATATATGCCGACACGTCAATGGAAGCTTTGAACGCCGACGCATTTATAAGGTCTAATGCGATTGCATTCGGAAACCACGACGGCTGCCTTCATTTGGGGGAACGCGGTGAGACGGGTCCAATATTGATATGCTGTTGCAAGCGTGTGCATGCATATGCGAATAACAGTCATGCATAGGAGCGGGGGGGACGCAAGCTCCGAATCTATTCCCTGAGAACGTGAGCAACCGTAACAAATATGCACGGGGTGTCAAGCAAGTCCACCCACGGCTCTTCTTCGGGGGATGGGGGGAATAAATAAATAAATAAATAAATGAGTGGAGAATGATATTTGAATGTGAGAAATGAGACAACTGTGTCTGCTCAGCTGGCTGCCCTGAGGTCTTGGAGCATGAATCTCCATCAGCAGGGGGACAGGAGACATGCTCAAGTACTAATTGGAATATCTTTGGAAGGTAAAAAGAGATATGGTCTTTTAATCACTTCAATGGTTTGGGTTCTGAAAGGTTTATTGAAGATCAACCCACTTGTGTTCTGAGATGAGCTGACCTAAAGGTCAATTTGTCGGGCCGAGAGTTCCAAACAAACACGGCGAAGCTGCGTTTAGCCGTTCTGCTGCACACAAATGGAAGCTGCCAACAGAAATGAAGTCAGCTTTGAGTGTAAAAGCTTTTAAATATCGATTTTTATAAAATCCTCCCCTACTTATGATAAAGGTATTTTAAACCATTTTAAAATCTTTTTTTTTCCTTTAAGTGATTTTGGAAACCGTTTATTTCTTAACTTTTCATTTTTTAAGGACTTCTATTCACGTGCCTCCATGTTGTCAACGTACGTTTTTGTCATTTTGGTCAGCTACGTTTGCTTACTCTGCTTTGCTTCGGAATGTGGCTCGCTGTTGTGTCCGTTAATGCTTCTTCGGTGCTTGTGTGAAGCACATTTGAGTTGCTTTGTGTATCAAATCAAGCTGCCTTGTCATACTTAAACAGGGTGGATCTATGATTAAAACACACACACACACACACACACACACACACACACACACACACACACACACACACACACACACACACAGCTGCCAAGGTATTCACAAATTATAAAGCCTCTCTCAGTCAATGACTAATGTTTTCATAGCGTCCCAGCACAACTAAATCAATCGCCGTCATCTTAGTTTTTGGTGAAATCTTGCATGCATATAAATTCACTGTTTTTATTGCTGGACAGGAATAGGATTGTGGTGATTCTACATTTCTGCATTTCAAAATGGAGCATGCAATGCTTTTAACGCCTGCAACTAGAGGTGTTTTTTTTTTAAACTCTTTTGGCAATATCGTGCCAGTACACCGCAGCGATAATGTTGAAAACTATAATCATGAGATGAGATTTTTATTTTTCCCTTCATGAGAAATAGAGACAAAGTAAGTCAGTGAGGCACAGCCAGTGGAACAAAAAAATAATGGCAGCAGAATGGCCCATTTCTTGCAGAAAGACGGATGGGCTAAATATAAACTGCAGTTAACTCTGACTCACTTTGAAGCGCGTATCCCGGGCAGTTGCTCTCCGCTTCAAAGTCAGGCAGCAGAAAAACGCGACAGAAATAGATGGTCTTAATTTAGAACTGTGGGACCGTTCATTTCAATATTTGATAAGAGGAAGAAAACCTCACTCCGACGCCCACCAAAATAAGTGTGTGCAAAAATTGGAGAAGTTGACAATGGTGACGATCTCGTCTGAACTCTTTGAGGGGCGGCGGTTATGACAGTGGACGGCTTTTCATATTTGATCAATAAAATGGGTTTGTTATCTATTAAATTGGTTGTTTGAGTCATTTCATAGTTTGTGTTATTTACATTGTTAGACCCAGCTAATTTGAAGAAAAAAAAAGTATTAAAATAAAAAAAAAAATCAAACCATGACACTGACGATTCAAACCGAATTTTGTGTATCGTTGTACTCCTAAATATTCACACCAAAAAAAAAAGCTGTGTGTCATTTGATGGGCTCAAAGTATTCCACTTATCTCTTCTCTCCAGAGTCTAATTTGTAATTTGCATGGGCTTCAAAACTTCAAACAGGCTGACATCAGGGCTGGTAGATTGTGAAGTGACTTTTACTAGACAAGATGTCATGTTGTCTGGTTAATTTTGTAGTTTTAACCTCAAGAAAAGTCACTGAGTTCATGACAGGATAGCGTACCAAAAAAAAACAAAAAAAAACAAACAAACAACAACGACAGAGATAATCATATTTTCCCTAATGAGCCAAGTGTGCTTTATCATTGGGCAAAGGCACGATTACATCAGCGGCTACGGATGGCTGACGACGCTTGCGCCGTCTCACCCGTTTGCCGTTTCGTTCTTCTCCTTTCACGTCTGCTGCCTTCAGAATCGAAGTGCAAATAACGAAGCCCGCGAAGTGCAACTCAAAAGGAGTGCATTGATATTAGCAGCCAGTCGGCGTCGGATCATATTCGGCTAACGTTATAGGTAGTCTTTTTTTTTTTTGCACTAAGTGGAACAGTTCAGTTGACTTGTTCAAGTTTCCATGTGGGGTGTGTGGTTGGAATGTGGACGTTTCCAGTCGGGACTTTCCAAACAATGAGGAAATAAACATGGAACAAAACGAAAGAAAAAACTGCACCGTGTGGCCTTCTTACTTCATGACATGACAATTGGAGAAAAAAAGTATTTTTCAGGGTCTGCCTAATACAGTTATCACGATTTATTGTCAACTAGTCAATGGACTGCACCGTGTTTGCCAGCAGTCCAGACCTGTCTCCCATTGAAGAAGTGTGGCACAGTATGAAGCCAAAAAATATATAACAATGCTAACCCTTGGACAGTTGAGCAACTGAGGTTGCGCACCTTCCACGCCTCAATAATTTGTATTGTTGAATTAATTTTTTTTTTGTTTTTCCTACTGCGTGCAAAGGCTGTCATTCAGAGTTGCATGCAGCGAGGCATAATTATTTCCTTACATTTGCTTCATCGTCAAGTCATCCTAATCCCTTTTTTTTTTTTTGGAAGAGGGGGGGTGGACGACATGATCCTTATTGTTATCCTGATTGAACAGATGTAATCCCACGGACTGTAGTAAACATTTTTATTCCATTAATTCTATTGCTCTGTTAAATCTGGGAACGGATTTGGAATGACTTTTCTGAATGGATGCACAGGCAGCCAGAGCAGGACTCATTTAGGAGGCTTGATGCGCAGAGGCAAGAGGCAAATGAACAAACTCAGCCACAGGCGTAAACAACTGCTTCGGCCAGACTCAGGGGGGCACTTGAAGGCTCTTTCTTGCTGCTTGCATCGCTAGCATTACGCATTGACTTCAATCGGAGCCTCTCATGCCAACCTTACAAGGCGTTTCCAAATGGTCACCTCCGCTGAAATCTGCCATAGTTGTTTTCGTGTATTTTCACCCGCATCAAAACACGGTGGATTTGTTATAGTCTGAATAAATGATTCATTCGTTAACCCTTTCAGGGACAGCGGTTACTATAGTGGACAGCCTATCATGTTATCAGGTTGCGGGTTATCATTATTGGTGCATGAAAGGCTTCATCTCCAAATGTATTGAAGTGCCTTTAGCTTGAAGAAACTTCAATTGCAAGTCGAAATCAAGCAAGCCACTTATCTCCCTTTTGTGTTCGATTTTTTTTGTCCCCCCCACCCCACCCCTCGCCTCGAGTACAAAGTGTCCATTTTGAAGCTTGATGTGACATTACTCCCAAAAGAACTGGGAAATTTGCGTCAAGCATTCAAAAGCGCTCTTCGTTTTTCCGAAGCAAAAAAAAAAAAAAATTGTCTTCTCGTGTGTTAGAAATGATGAAACCGTTGACCTATATTCCATATCTGAGGGGTTGGTAGAGTGCTGGAACAGAACAGTCATGCTGCAGAGGTGTGTTATCCCCCCCCACCAACCAACCAGCATGTTAAATGAGAAGTGATGTGTTTGACATTGAAGTGTTGGCACGAGCTTTGCCCGTGTACCCCACGGGAACAGTTTTAGATGTAGCACTGAGGGGGAGAAAAGTCTTGAGAGAAAAATGTATTTTTTTGAAAAGTAAGAAACCTGATTTTTAGCTCACATGGTGAATTTATAAACTTTAAATGTTTGCTCAGATTCCCCGACACAACAGTGTTCGAAAAGAACTTTAGGGAAGATGAATTTGCATGCGTATGAAATTATCAACATGGAAAGTCTGGAGTTATGAAAGTGCATAAAATGGACGTTTATCCAAAGTGGAAATTTTTTGCCTTGGTGAAGGATTGCGCTATTTTGAGCAATATCACGTCACGTACGTTTGCATTGATGTGTTTGACAGCGCTCACGTCCTGTCATCTATTCCTCTGGGGGGGCGGGGGGGTGGGGTTATTTATTTATACATACATAAATTTCATCTTAAGGTTGTATGCTGCGTACTTTGGTTCATTTCGATTGGTGGGCAACTTTCAATCTTTCGTCTTGGTCGGATCATCCACTCTGATGGCCACCGTAACGCAGTTTAAAGTCACATAACAAAACTTTAAATTTTGAAATATGAGCTCTGTGACAAAAAAAAAAAAAGCTTCTTTTCAAGCAACCCAAAGAACTATTACTGTTCGTTGGCCATAGTTCTGCGTGAGAGCAGAGATTTTTTCAAAGAAATCTGGCAAATGATGTTTGAAGTCGCTGAATTAAAGGGACAGAACACATTTTGATCTTGTCTATCGATTCAAAAACGCCTAAGTATGGCTTGTCCGACAATAGCAACCGCAGTAACAACAAAGCCTCAGAGCGTCCACGTCATCATGCCTTTGAGAAGGAACAAGACTGTCAAGTTCTGGCACAAACAAGGACATTGTGCTTAATCAAAGTAAGTGTCTGGTGAAAAAGGTATGCAAGGGGTGGCCGAGTCTCATTCCAGTCATACAAGCACAAACATACACCCAGGAGGAGGAGGTGGTGGCGGTGGTGCTGGGGTTTTGGGGAGACAGTTCGAGTCAGGAAAAGAGTTTGCCCCATCGTACAGTTACAAACATACCTCTCATGGGATTCTGGATCCACAAGATACCTCCGATAAGGTGAGGAGACCTGCCGAGCATTGCAAACCACTAAGCGTCCAGGAGATTCCCTTCTTTCACATCCACTTATCCTCAGTGATGCTGCTCCACTAGCTATTTACTCTCAATTACAGGGGAGATGATCCACATGTTTGGCCACCTGCTGCAGGATGAGCTGGACCAGTCTTGGGGAAAACGATTACATACACACACACGGTGCAAGGGGAGTTACATCACAACGAGACAAATCCCGGTTCCTTTCCAAACAAAATCGAAGTTGATCATCCAAAAGGAGATGATTGTGCAAAACAAAGCCCGCTCTGCCAGGCTGCAGACCTGAGAATGTGGCTGCGTCGTGTCACTTAGCAGAACGATCACGCGCACAATCGGCAACAATGGGGAAAGCGCGTGCACACGAACAATGCTTCCTGCAAGTGATGTGCGCTGTCATGAAGAGAAGATTACTGGCACAGTGATGCGGAAAGAGGGAGAAAAAAAAAAGGCTTGCAAACCATGACCCAATCACGAGGTTTCACAGTTGACCCGTTCTAAGTCTGGGCACGCAGCTCAGCTTCACTTGTCATCGCGGTGACTTTTAACTATTTCCCCTTTTTCTTCCCCCCCCCCCCCTACACACAGGGCACTAAAACGTCTGAACATAATGTTCTCTTACCTTCGACAGCCATGACGTCACTCCACAGATGCGGGCATCACTCGCAAAAGAGCTGGAGAAAATTTGTGAAAGTCAACGCTTTCTCATTGTACCTTTTCCTACCGTGTTATTTCATTGCTGCGGGCGAGCCGGAGTGCACAGCTGCTGCCGCGCCTCAAAGCATCACGGGTAGTGTAGTCTGAGAGCAGTGGACTAGCAAAACAGTTCACGCAAAGAAATCCGTCACAATCCCTGGAGAAGGGGAAATCAACCCCAAAAAATACAATAATATGTTCTATGCAGCACCACTAGCCAAAACACAACATTTTGATTAATATTACGTTTGTGGAATAAACAGCAAAATCCACTACTGTATTTTTTATCCATCTCAGGGAACAGCCATTTTGTCACTTGCTGTTGACTGAAAATGACATCACAGGTGCTCAGGGTTCAGGTAATGACAAATCATGGCGCACCTGTTTTCTGAAGCTGAGGCATGCTTGGTTGTTGCTTGAGCCCTGAGGAACTATGATGTCATTTTCAGTCAACTGCACTAGGCAAAATGGCCGCCCCCTGAGACGGGCAAAAATGGCTGGATTTTACAATACATCCTGATTTATATCGCGCTTTCACATCAGCTGCAGCTGTAACAAAGCGCTTACTGCTTAACTCATATTCCACAGACATAATATTCATCAGAATGCCATGTTTAGACTCGTGGGCTGCATAGAACATATTATTGTAAAGATTTTTTTTTTTGTGGTTGGCTTCCCTTTTAAACAGGGCTTTTTATACTGTGGATTATATGGGTCACTCATTCGTCAAATCCCTAGAGCAGGGGTGTCAAACTCATTTTTGTCGTGAGCCACATTGCAGTTATGGTGTTCCTTGGAGGGCTGTTATGAATTTTGGGAAACCATATAAATGTTTCATCACCTCCACATACTACATGCACAGCGTACAACAAATTGATGGATAACTAGTTTGAAAATCAGAAGTCAAAAATAACGACTGTTATTGTGGATTACATATCACAATTTGAAATTTTGGTCCAGACTTTAGCAAGCATCGTGGAACTTGACATGCTTTTTTTGCTTTTGCCGGCCACATCAAATGATGTGGTGGGCCAGATCTGGCCCCCGGGCCTTGACTTTGACACCTGTGCCCTAGAGAAAATAAGCACGGACAGAAGTCAATCAGCTTGTAGAATGCTACATGACTAAAAATTTTGATGTATGGCATTTGCTGTATCTAATGTTCTGATATTGAATGAGTATCGGATGTAAAATAAAACACTTTCAAAAAAAATCAAAGTTTTTAGTATGTTATTCATTAAGTTTATGTCATTGATGTAGTTTGAGATCTGTGTTTTGGCTAATGAGCCAGGTTAGCTAACAGAGTTGGCATGAGCATTGCGTTAGCCGTACGGATAAAGCTTATGCTAACCAAAAGAACATCATGACTTCACCGGATCAATCGAAAGTGATTCATCTGCAAATTCATTAAATTCACCTCCAGCTGTGCGAGAGAGTTTTTGAATGCCAATATTTCTGTCACCTTGCGTCGGTTGAAAGGAAGAGTCTTTCACATGTATAAAAGCATCCATCCATTTTTTAAAAATCCGCTGATCCTCACTTGTTGAGGTTCTGAGGGGGGTCAATCACAGTGAAGGTTAAGCTGTCACCAGGCATGCCCTTTTGCTTCGAACTTTGTTGATCTTATATTCTCGGATGCTTTGTCAGCTCATACACAGGTATTTTTTTTAATCCCCCATTGCAGCCACACCAGCAAGGTTAGCTCACATATCAAAACATTTGCCTTTACCTTTAAGGAAAGACTGTTTACTCAGTCGAACTAATTTTACACATGTAAAACACCCATAACAATGGTGGCCATGAGAATCATGCCGCTGCGCACATAGAAAAATGCTGTCACTCCTGAAAATCTGGCTTTGAAATGAATCGAAATGTGTTGAAAAATAAGCACTCGTGTTTTAGCTTATGAAAACTACAGCACATGAATCATGTTCCTTTCTTGTGCAAATCTGTTTATGTCATCATTAAATATTGTTCTTTTTTTCACGTTTTCAAGTTGGCCATGCACCATTTTGTAAACAGTGTTTAAAACAAACTTCAAATACAGTTTCCAGTTGGGGGAGGTGTGAGAGGAGATCGAAATGCATAAAACAAGGCAACAACAACAACAATTTTTTTTAAAAAGTGCTTGTCTGGACAACGCTTTGGAGAATCTCTCACTCCGGTATCACCAATCTTTGTGAAAGTGAGAGCTACCTCTTGAGTGCTAATTAATGCAAAGGGCGACCAATTTGATACACAGATTAAATTACCTTTAATAATATTCTTTTATTTGTCATAATGAATGATATTCATTTCAAGACATAGATCATGTCAATGATTTCTCACAATAATTAGGAATGATACATATCAATTGCCAATGCTTACCTTTCAAAAATCTCTCCCGGTGTTCACATTTTCATTTTCCTCACATCCACAACATTCCTCGAAAATCACAATGACGATGACCCGTGCTCCAGCCTAATGCATTTTGAATGAATTTGATGGATGAGAATTATATCGAGGTCTGAGCATGACAACAGCGTCGGCCACATGGAACAAACATATACATTTGCATAATGGTGCAAAAATCATAAAGCAAATGTATAGCTTTCACAATTCTGACAGAGGCAAGGGACAAACATTTTCAAAGTTTCAGAAACCATCTTGAAACAGGTTAAGCTAGCTAAGAGTTTACAAAAAAGATGCCCAAAACCGCTTAGAGAGGAATACCTTTATTCTGTCCAAGTCAACTGATAGTGCTTTAAATCGAGACTTTTTGAATTTAGTTTGATAGAGCAGATTGAGGAAAAGTTTTATTCCAATTAAATGTAATATTCAGGTATGCCCCAATGTGCTCCGAAGTATGTGATACGATTTGGACCTCTGGTTTGGCCACTGATGAGGACCAGCTCAGTGTCCTTGCTGGGGGCATACATGTTGAAGGATGTGCCGGAAGGCTGCCCGACTTGCAGTGTTCGACCTTTCTTGGTGACGAACACAAGTGACGTAATGAAACCAGTGAATTTCCCGGAAATCTGAATAATGCCTTCGTCCTTGTACAACTCCATCTCCTTGGCATCTCCCGTTTCAGCCCCAATTACAGGTGACCAAGTGGGACCGTAGCGTAATTGAAAACTGATGGAGAGAAAAAACAAATGTTCATTCGGGCTGGTTACAACAGTAACCAAATGGTTCAATCAGATTGTATGTGTCGTATATTTACCCAGTGATGACGCTGTTGTATTGCTCCCATACTCTGACAGCTGTGATGGCCCCATCTCCACTGAGAGAGAATGAGTCACCTCCCCCCGGGCCCACTGGTTGGGAAAAAGCGTATTTCTCGGCCAGGGCTGGAATGAAATAAAAAAAATTGTAAAATTTTAAAAATGAGGAGTGACAGTCATTAGCTTTTGTTCAAGTGTCAGACTTCTCTCTCTCTCTTTTTCTCTCTCTCTGTGTAGCGAGCTAGCTAGCTAGCTAGCGAGCAAGCTATCTTTCTAGCTTGCTATCGAAACAAGATGAAATGTTTACGAATGGAGAGTGTTGCCTTCATTGGCCTCACGAGTGGAAAAAAAATATAATCGGAAAGGAATGTGCAAGCTTGGCTATCGCACAGGTGCCTTACAGAAAGAATGTTCTGCTTTTCAAAGCTATTGTCTGGAATGGAACGACAAGTGACTTCCTCCAGTAAAAATGAATGTGGGATTTTTTTTTTTTTTTTTTTTTTTTTTTACTTGAACACAAAATATTCCTGTTGAGTCAAAGTCTTTTTGCCCCGTGTTACACTTTGAAAAGGGAAAATGACAAGATTTTTTTTTCTTATGATATACGTGTCAACATGTCAGATTGTTTACTTCCCACATATTTTTTTTTGTACATAACGCAAAATTGAATAACTCACCATTGTGAAATACACAAAGAAAGAGTGCAGTGACAATTACAATTCTTGACATTCTGTAAAAAAATAAAAAGCAAAAAAAAAAAAAAACGTAAGTATACACTTTATGAATTTGTTCATTTTAGAAAATGTTTCTTGTGATGTATTTAAGCAACCTCAGATGTTACCTGTTGGAGTTGTCAGATCACACAGCAAATCCAACAGCATCTACCTAGTCAAGAATCGGAATACAAAGTAGCCTATATGACAAACTTATTTGTATCCAAATACAAATAGATGTTAAAAATAAACAATATATTCTGTAAGTGTAATAATTACCTGTTAGAAAAAAAAAATTCTACTCACAGGTTATCCGCACAACGGCTCAAAGATCTACGTGTGAAGCTCAGACTCTTTTGTTTGAGTTCGGAGATCAGCTTTATAGACAAGTCTTGAGCGTGCCAAAGCCAAATGCTGATGAGAAACCAAGCCTATATCCTGGTTGAAGCAGTACGGAGAAAGCAAGAGATGTTGAAAATAAACAATGTGTTCTGTAAGTGTAATTACCTGTTAGAAAAAAAAAATTCTACTCACAGGTTATCCGCACAACGGCTCAAAGATCTACGTGTGAAGCTCGGACTCTTTTGTTTGAGTTCGGAGATTCGCTTTTCTGCAGGTTGAACTGCCCTGAAACAAGTTTTAAACTATCTATTCTACAGTACAGTGCAAGTACAACGAATATGCAAGCAGGAAAACAAAAGGCGAACAATACAGAAAATAAGTATTCAAAAGAAGATTGTTTCATTTCGTGAACGTTTTTAAATTGGTTATATTTTTTTGGGACAATGGGACGATAGCAGGTAAAACAATAAACATTTTTTCTATGAGGATTTTTTTTTGGGGCAAATTAATGATGTGACAGCACAAATACACACATTTCAGAATCGTCCCGTGGTAACGTAGCACACAAACAAAAAAAAAAAACAATACTGAGTTTTCGGTCGGAAGTGCCAAAAAGTCTTGGCACAATGTCACCTGGAATTTATCATTACCTCCGTCGAGCACAAAAAAAAGGAGATGTTTTACGAAATATACTGTACGCGAGTCCGAAAGAAGGGCATATTTATATACTTTCAGGACTAACTTAAAATGCCTTACACATGAACCACGTTTTTGACCGCAGGTTCAACTGTTCAATATTTCGGTCCTTTTTGCACAACTTGCTTTTCTCTAGCAAGGCGCTGAACAATAAAACTCACAACAGGTCATATCTCACCACTACCGAGGCATTGCGAGGCTTCAAACAAGGAGTGACCCCTGAGCTAAGATATAGAGAGAGACTGGTAGAGTCACAGAAAGGCATATACTGTACAGTAGACCTCTGCCTATTCACCGTTCGGCATTTGCGACTTTGTGGATAAGTGGATGAGACTGAAATAGATTTTACAGGTATACTCATTTGTGTTGTTTATTCAAAAAATTAGAAACATCCAATTAACCCTTTCAGGGACAGCGGTTACTACAGTGACTAGAAACGTCCAATTAACCCTTTCTGGGACAGCGGTTACTACAGTGGACATTTGATCATGTTTTCAGGTTGCAGGATGCATGGAGGGGGTTAAGTTCACCTGTAAAGGTTGTCATGTTTTTTTTTTGTGAGTAGCATCGATTATTTCTGTAAGGAGTAGCTTGAGTCATGTATGAATCGTGGGGTCGCATTAAAAAAAAGTACAATGTCTGCTAACTAGACACATCAGCGTATGTATTTAACTGTGAGATTGCATCTTTATTTAATTTTTTTGTGGGGGGGGACGATAAACGACAGTCAATATAGTTTCTTCGCCGAAAAAGCCGTGCACACAACATACGGCAGGAAGTTTTCCTTCTTTGATCGCTGAATGTTTCATGGCCGCATCAAAAAGTCATTGCAAAAAACAACAACAACAAAAAAACACAATTCAAGCCAAGGAGATGACAAAGCTTTGACAAAAGTTTGGTCGGTGCACTTTGGACCGAGATTTTATGACGATGAAAAAAAAAACAGCAAAGGGTCAGCAGGCAAAGAGAGTGTTTTATTAAGTACAAATCATTCTTCTTCTTTAATAGTATTTGCCATAATGTGATCCATAATCAGGCTCAGGACGTACGCCCCAGTGCGCCCCCAGGGAGGTGATGGCACCGTGGAATCGGCCGCTGATGAGGCGCAGTTCACCCTTCTCGTTGTCCGGGTACATGTTGAACGAGTGCCCCGTCGGCCGCCCCGCGTAGAGGGAACGACCCAAGTTAGTCGTGATCACCAGAGACTGGATGTTGTGTGTATATTTTCCAGAGATCTGCACGATGAACTCGTCGTGAAACAACTCGATCTCCTGCATTATGCCCAACTCCCGGCCTGCTATGTCGGTCCACGTGTAGTCATAGCGAAGTTGGATGCTGGCGGGGGAGAAAAGACATTGATGAAAAATAAATAAATAATTAAAGTTTTTCGTAACGCTCTATCATTCAATCATCGACATGAAAAGGATAAAAAAAAAAATAAGTAATGAGATTTCATTTTCACCCACTGACTATTTTGTGCCATATAAATTAGTTATTCACCCATAGACGAAGTTGTTGCTGGCCTCCCACAATCGGACACCGGTAATCCGCCCACTGCCGGTGAGGGCATAGGAAATACCTTGTCCCGAGCCCACATGTGGAGAGAATGAGTATTCTTCGGAGTCATGATGGCCTGCAAAAAAAACAAAAAACAACAACAACAAAAAAAAGACATGCACAACCTCTTTTGTGAATAAACACTCGACAACCCTTTCTCTGTAAAAAAAAAAAAAAAAAAAAGTTCATACAGAGTTAGTGTGCAGATTTACCATCGGCCAAAGCAGTTCTCGAAAGAAGTGCAATAAAGAGCAGTAAAATCATTCTGTGAAGACAAAAAACCGGTGGGGGTTAATAAATCATTATTCATATCGGAGGTTAATAAATCATTATTCATATCGGACGAACACTGCTAGCCTTACCTGTCACTTGTTTGGTGATTTTCTCTCTGACTGGAGGATACCTTTAAAAAAGGAGCGACCATAAAACCATATTTTATGTTTTTACAGGAATGCAGAAAAAAAAAGGTTTAGATCAATCTTACAGATTACACGCGTATTCCCGGTAAAGCAATCCCAGCATTAGTCCATCGGGTTAAAATGAAACCCAATTCATTTTGGCTGTTTATATACAGGAGAAATCTTTTGCACTGGCACTTCCTCCAAATTGGTGTTAAGTCGCAAAAGGTTGGAGGAGGTCCTTACGGCTTGAAAAGAAAAAAATAATAATGTGGCAGGTGTGTTTTAACTCTTCATTAGCTGTTGTACATGTAGAACCTGCCCTGCCTGTAATTTTCATGTGGCTTTGTCGTGTCTTTTTCGATACGACGTGACAGTATCGACACATTCAGTCAGTTTTAGCTTCGTTGACGATCGCGCTATGTCAACAAGCTAGCTCAAATCCTCAACCCGGCATTGGCTCGCTCGGTTAGCTAGTTCATCGTTGAATTTTGTTAGCCATTGCTATTTTTTTTGTAAGATGAATGGCAGCCCACATACTTTATTAGTTGAAAAAAAAAAGGCTTACATACAAGTTTTTCAGTCTTGGGATTGATAAATGTTGAACCCTTTCAGGGACAGCGGTTACTACAGTGGACAGTTTATCATGTTATCGGGTTACAGGGTGCGTGAAAGGGTTAATGGCAATTTATTGGCCTTCGAAGCAGCCTGCAAAAACAACAAAATGATGACAAAAATGACAAAGGTAGCCTGGAGAGGAAAAAGCTTTGAGAAAATGAGGTTGACAAATTGGTCTTTAATCACATGATAACCACTGCGCAAGTTCGCTCAGGACATAGATTTAATGGAGGTGCAAAATGATTAAACATCAGGCAAGCAGTGAACTTTTTCTTGATTGTTAAAATACACGGAGAAAAAAAAAATTTGGGTTGACTTTACTCAATTCTAGTTCATCAAGTGGTTGGATGAAATAAAATCATCTGGATCCAGATACATTTTGAAGTGGACTATATATCTACTTGAAAAATTGCAAATGATTTGATTTTATGCAACCACTTGACAAAATGACATTGAGTAAATTCAACACACCAATTTTTTCCCAGTGTACGCCCAATGCAGATGATGGGGCTCTTTAATAGTATTTTCTTGGTGCTTGATAAGGTTCAGAAACAACACCCCAGTGTGCCCCAAAGGAGGTGATGGCACCGTGGAACCGGCCGCTGATGAAGCGGAGTTCAGCCTTCTCGTTGTTCGGGTACATGTTGAACGAGTGCCCCGTAGGCCGACCCGCGTAGAGGGAACGGCCCAAGTTAGTAGTGAACACCAGAGACTGGATGTAGTGTGCATATTTTCCAGAGATCTGCACGATGGCCTCATTGTCAAACAACTCAATTTCCTGCATTTGGCCCCACTCCCGGCCCGTCACATCGGTCCATTGGTAGCCATAGCGAAGTTGGAAGCTGATGAAGATAAAATAAGCAAATTTGAAGAGGAGGAATATATCGATTGAATTAATCGAATATTTTTATGTTAAGCATTTCTGCATAGATTGTCTTTTTCGGGGCGGGGTTACCAATTCAATTCTCTACATGGACAAAATAAAGAAAGACGACGGCAAACCAATTCTTAAAATGTTAATTGTTCAGGCCGTGCTAAAAACAAATGATGGCAAAATTCATTTGCCACATTTTTCAAATAAAAGCGGAGAGAGAAAAAAAGTCGTCCGTTTGGAAGGTTGGGCTCTCATAGTTATGGAGTATGAAATTGGCGGAAACAACGCCACCAAGTGAACTAAAACTAGAACTGCTAGTTTTTACAAAGTACTGTGATGACATTTACTATTTACCACTGATTATGTTATGGCGGATGATGAAGTTATTCACCCATAAATGTAGTTGTTGTTGGCCTCCCACACTCGGACACCGGTAATCCGCCCACTGCCGGTGACCGAATACGAGGTGCCTTGTCCTGAGCCGACCTGTGGGGAGATTGAGTAATACGAGTGGCCGGGCCATTCTGGGTGGGGGGTACACACAAAAACTCTGTATTAAAAAACATTCGGTAGATTTGTGACCACTCTAGGTAAGGCAACAAGTGAAAATGCAAATATACCGTCAGCCAAAGCAGTGATTGAGAGGAGCGCAAAAACGACCGTTAAAATCATTCTGTAGAAAGAGAAAATTGGTTGAAAATATTGAATAAATCATTATTAAGATGAGATAAGCGAAAGAGAGCCTTACCTGCTACTTTTTGGACGATTTTCTCTGTGATCGGAAGATACCTTTGACAAAGGAACTATATAAAATTCATTGCATCAAGGAATGCTGAATTAAGAAAAACCTTTTTTTTTTTCATTAATCCATCAGTTGAAGTCAGGATTCCCCTACAAGGAAGTTTCAGCAATAAGCTGTCAGGCTAAACTGTGAATAGTAGTTAATCTTGGTTTCAATTTATACTGGCACTTTTGTGCGTGCAGTTCCTTCAGATTGATGGAGGAGGACTTAAAGCCTTTCAAAAAATGTTTCAGGTATGAAAACATATCTGTTGATCTCTTTGACATGTGGAACCTGCCCTGTCCGCATTTTGTGTGTGACTGACATGTGTTTGAAATACTTTATGACGTCACGACGTTGATTCATTTTTAACCTTGTTGACTTTGGATCGATCTAATGTACAGCCGTAGTGGCCAGGCCAATTAGCATTCTCCTTGACAATCACGCCATATTGTTCATGCTTTAATTAGAAAAGAATGCACCTCCAAATGTCGTTTCCAGATACGAACATGTTCGGGGGGGGATTTGCGATTTCTATTTTTTTCCATTGCAGTAATTTGGCTAAAGGTGCCAGTACCAATCGCAAAGTGTGCGTGGATTGTTTTGTGGTTAGCTAACCGATAGCATCCATGCTCCCCACTCATGTACATTTAATTTTTAGTATGATTATTTTGAATGCGTTTACTGACACAGACCACAATGATTGATCACCGGTCAGTTCCATAAAACAGCTGACGAAGCCTTAAGGGGCCCGAGGGCATTACGGGGGTCCTCAACCTGGAAAAAATGGGTCTTGTAATCTTCAAGTGACGATCATTTTAGCTTTTACTGTCACGTGTTGCTGTAATTGTTGCGGAGGCACTTTGTGTTACAAAATAATGGTTAGAACTTCGCAATACTGATGGGAGGCTAATGTGCAAACATGTACTGTAAGTTCGAAATGCTGCTACGGTGATAAGTTGCTAATACACGATTTTAAAAAAAGGCAATACAGTAAACCGATTAAAAAAAATTTAAGCCTGTCAATTCAATAAAATATAAGTTTTGCTAATGTGAAAATGAGCTTTCCTTGCATTTTATTGTTTACAGCACTAAAACAAATAAAGCTAGCATGTTTTTTGGGGCTGCATTTTTAAAAGCCACGAGTTAGCACCACAACGAAACGTTTTCCAAATCGACCGGCGGAGAGACTGCTCTGTAATTTTACGACAGC